GGGGGGAGAAAAAGGTGTACTTGGGGCAAAAAGCACGTCTATTGCAATGAGAATTTCTAGAATTGCAACATCTGTAATTACTTGTTAAGTCCACAAAGGTAATGAAGTTGTTCTCCCCCCTTTCCGAGTCTCTATCTATTGAATATGCATTTATGTAAAAGGGTAGAACTTAAGGCTGTCTTCATGCTAAAATATTACACTTAAAGAACAATGATTTTAAGAGCAGAAAAGGTATTTTACTTAATTACTGAACAGATATAAAATATGCCTGCTGTTTTTCTCCAGCAGGTCTCCCCCGTTTGACTACATGAAAACTTTTTGGTTTAACCATTCACAACTGGAATGTGGCAGTCTGCCTACAAATAACTTCTATTCCTGACAGCTTAAAAACTAGAAAGTCTAAGAACTGCTTTGCTTTAGCTATACCTTTCTGGCTTATATGCCCCTAAATAAGATTTTGAAATTTTACTAGACAAAGGTTTTGTCTGCAGTAAATTGAATTTTCATGACTATATTTTCCATGAACTTATCATCTCAAAAGTAAATAGAGCTCTTCATACATAGATGCAAAAACGCTATTCCTTCTGAAAAAGCTCAGTTATATTCTAGTTTAGTGAGCCATAAAACCAAAATAAATCAAGTTATATTTTAATGTGCTTAAACAAGTGATTTATGATGGTATCTACACTTCTCATTTGACTGATGGCTTACTGTATAAGTAAAATACTTAAATAAAAATAATAGTGATTGATTCCTCTCTTTTCCTTTTTTACTTTACTATTGCTCAAGCACAAAATAAACCATCACCTCCTTGCATGGAAATTCTCCAAATACAAGTCTTCAGCAGGTTCCGATCAGAAACAAGTACTATTTCTGGGGTTTTTTTTTGTCTTTCCTTAAAAGCAGATATGGAGCAGAGACAATAAGCACAATAAAACTAGGTGACACACGTTACTTTCCACATAATCATAATTGGTATGTAGCAATGAATGCACTGCCAAGTCAGTTACAGGTGACTTGAAGATAACTAAGGTGGGGGGGTGATGGAACTATCCTGAGATGTTTTACCAAGGATCTGCAAACATCTTTGTGAGGTTCTTTCTATCCTCTTCAGCTGCTCTGAGCCCTCAAGCGATCAGCCTGATGCAACAGAGCTTCTTCCCCTCTTCCCAACAGGCAGCTCATGAAGCCCACTTGGCATTTGAGCTGGCTCCAGATTCTTCTCCTCTTCCAGCTTCTCTTAGGAGGGCCTTTTATGGCCATGTGATGCTGGGGAAGGGAGCATATTTAGGGTTTATCCTGTTCTCCCTGGGGCTCGTGGTGTACTGCCAGTTCCTCGTCAGTGCACACTGCCTTTTGTGGCCTGAGCAGTGATTCAGTGTAAAACAAGTAACAAGTAATCGGAGCACTTCCAGCTAACACGAGTGTTGGAAGGAGAGTGACTGAAGGCAATGCAGAAGACAACATCTTTTTTTCCTGTAGTAGCGGGATTTATTCCCATTACACTAACTCAGGTTCTAGGACCAAATCCTGAAAACTGTTGCTGCTTGTTAATTTAAACTCTTAACAAAACTCTCCCTCAAGAGCTGCTTTACTGTGGCTCTCTTTGGGTTCTACATACAAGAGGCAGGTAGTAAAGCACTTGGCAAACTTGGAAAATGTTTACATATTCTTTCCAAACAAATTATTTCTGGTAGTTCTGGCAGAAAGCATTCCTGTCCCTTCCATACAGACAGTTGCAATTTTCATTGCTCCCAGTTTATTTTTAGAGCTCAAATGGATGTGAACATGAGAAACGGATTGCCAGTGGATCCGGAGTAGACTACTTTTGAACAGGTCAAAAGAAAATCTTCACAAGCAGAGCTGCCGACTTGAAACTTACTCCAAAAACCAGAACAACGCTTTGGTGCACTTCTGTGTCTAAAGAACCCTGATTTAAATATTTAAACAGCACAACACATGCATAATACTACCAGATATATTCAGTGGCACTACTGCTATAGAGACCATGGAATTAATTTGGAAAAGACTAATTTAATCATGTTATCATGCTATAAAAGTTAAAATTTTAAGTATCTTCTAGTTACTAACAAACTGAGGATTTTTTCTTTATGAATCTTCTCAACTATAAGTACAAGAAACATTACTTAATAGAAGTCTACCGCCCCCTTTATTTGGTGCAAGATTTGTAATTTTAGTCAATTTGACCATGAAGCTACCTGCAAGGTATCCAAATGAAGTTTTACCTTAAAATATATTCATAATTAAAACTAACAATTAGTGTGTTGTTAAACTGGAAAGACCCTTCTGGAAAGAAGAGGCTTTTCTACAGCAAAGTGCAAAATGCTACATCAGTACATAAGGTCATCTACTCAAAGTGAAAAGCAAAACACTGAGAGACAGAACAATAAACCTAAGGGTTTTTTTATATAGTGGAATATTTTTGTTGTTTCTGACAGACTCAACAAAATGACCAGTGTATTTTAAGACGTATAAGAGCAGGAGATTTTAGTTTGTTTTCAGGTTTGCTTTTTTTTTTTGGCTTTTTGTTTCACATCGGTGGATGGCAGTCACTACAAAACATCAATTTACTAGAAGTCCCAATGGTACAAACACCCTTCTGCCCTTCTCCACCCTCTTCGTCCCCCAAAACTTTAAACGACCGAGCCATGAAGTGTACAACAAATGTGGCATTCTGTAACTCAGCCTGCTATATTCATTTAGCCTACGGTTTCACACCTATGAAATCAAACACACACAGTATGTGAGAAAGTTTTATCATTTTAGAATCAAAATATCCCTTAAAATATTTACATTTTACAGTAAAAAGGATAGCAAAACACAAAGTAATGTACAAGCTTAGGTATTCAAGTTTTTGAAGCATGGAAAATGGTGGGAGAAATGAATTTACTACTACAAATCATATTTCCAAGAATTTAGATTAAAAATGTTTTCTTATTAAAACAAGTGCAGTTTAAAGCAATAACATTCGAGCAGCTCAGCCTTCCGATTTCTGGTCACAAACTGCTTCAGATGCTTAGGAAATACTTGAAAAACTAATGAAATACACTTGAATTATTTTACTGTACTACCGAATAATTTAAAAAAACTCTTCACACCACCAAGCATATTATATTTTGTTGTAATGTGTGTGGATTCTGAGGCTTTGCTACAGTCTTTAAAAACAGTGCAGTTTAAAAAGAAGGTTATTGTATGAAATTCACCTTTAAAATTATCAGAGCATCTTAAAACAGAAGAGAGCACAAATTACCAAAGGCAGCAACTATATTGCAGACTTGACTAAAGCCAACTTCATCAGCTAAGAAAATTTCTAAGCCTTTATTGCATATTAATAAAAGAAATCTTTAAAATCTTGAATATACAGCAATGTAAAATTTTTAAAAATATTAAACTCCTACTTCTAGCGATAGTTGGTATAATGAAAAAAAGGATGAGTATTGGTACATCGAGTGGTACCAAAACACAGACTTGTTTCTGCAAAACACCAACACTGAATAAAAAAGATGGCACAATCCTAGCAGGCTTTTTTTTTTTTTTTTATACAAAGTTTTACGACATTACTCTAACAGTTTATTTAAATAGGATTTTGAAAGACTGCCTGCACCTTTTTACCTTTTGCTTTTAGTTCTGTCACTGTGGTCCCTATGTCTCTCTCTGTTCTTTTCACTTTCTCGTTCTCTATGCTTCTCTTTGCTTTTCTCCCTCTCCTTATCTTTTTCATGAGCCTGTTCTTCACTTTTAGGCTTCTCTGTCTTTTTTTCTGGATTTCTAGTCTCTCTGGGGCTTTTTCCATCAGCAGCCCTATCACTGTGTGGAGATCGCAATCTCTCTTTGTCTCTCTGTCCTTCCTCTCTACTCTTCCTCTCTCTCTCTTTTTCCTGGTTTCTGTCTCTGCGTCTATTTCTTTCAGAATCTTGCTCCCAGTATTTTTCGTTGTTCCACTCTTTTTCATGTCTGTCTTTCTTTTGGTGATGGGATTCACTGTAAAATCTTTGTCTATGTTGATCATTTTTTCCTCTACTGAACCCTCTCTCCAAATGCTGTTCTTGTCTGCCCCAAGGATCGCTGTGGCGTCTTTCTGGTCTCCTACTGTCTTTACTCTGAAAAAAATTTTCTGGCCCCAAAAATCTTGACTGTTTGTGAGCCACTGGTAGCCCTTGTGCAATGGGTCCAGCATAGTGTAGTGGCTGACCCGATAAATGAGCTACTGGTGGCCATGGCATCATTGGATTTTGAGGAAAGCCAAAGCCTGGAGGAGGAAGAAGTGGAGGTGGTAAATGAGGAGGAAATCCAAACATAGGGTTGTTTTGCGGAGGGAAGTTATGAGGTGCAGGAGCCTGAAACTGAAATCCAGATGGACTAGATTTAGGATGCTGAAAATTCTGCTGTGGAGGTCTAACAGATGAGAAGCTGCCACTTGTAATAGGGCTTGGGACTTTGGAAATAAATTCAGAACGAGAAGAGTTTTCGGTTTCAAAATGAGATGAAGTTGCTGCTGGTCCTCTTCTAAATGAGTTCACTGTTTCAATGTTTTGCATCAGTGCATCCTCCTGCGAGTGTTTGGTATCTTCCGCTTGTGATGCACCTGCGTTATCTGCTTTTGCTGCAGTTGAACTGTACTGCGTCTCATTGGTTTGCGCATCACTTTGATACAGGTTTGAGCCCACTTCTCCAGAAGACTGTTTGTTCTCTGGTTCCATTTGATCATTTCCTGAAGCATTGTGTCGGTCTTCATTTCTGCTAACGTCTCCTTCCTTGTTTTCCGAAGCATTAGTCTGCTGGCTTCGTCCAGCTGCCTGTCGTGGGTCTCTTTTAAGATTAATAAACGGTGGTGATTTAGAGGTATTAGCAGTGGTACCTTCAGCAGAGCCTACATTAACGTTGTTCTCATTGTTTTTTTTCCCTGCGTTTGATGAGGAAGAAGAAAAGCTGGAGTTTGTGGTCCTTCTGACTTCTTGTGCAACATTATCTTTGTCGGGTAACTGCCGCTTTGGGTCATTTTCTTTACTGTCTTCAGTTTCTTTATTCTGTGTCTGAGCAGATAAATTTGATAAGAATGCTTCTGTGGAGACATCTGGAGGTTTTCCCTTAAGACTCAGCCCTATCAAAGATCCAGCACTTCTTGCAGAACTTGAGGTCCCTACAGCTGCTGCATCCACAGTTACAGTAGCGTTAGTGGATTCTTGTAGGTCATCCAAACCAGTCTTTGCTTCACTAACTTCAGTAGTTACCTCAGCAACATCCATGTTTTCTTCTTTTAAGGTTGCTTGTTCGTTTAATAATGGTATGTCTTCACTGGGACTCGCTTCTACCTTGCTGTGTTCATACACCTGCCCTGTCGTACCCAACAGGCTTTGGAGAATATCATCCACTGGCAATGGTTTATTTGCTAGCTCCAGAGTAGAAGGCTGATTTTCCCATCCAACCAGGACTCCAGGAAGAAATCTGAGAGGCTTCGGCGGTTCATGTTTGGTACTTTCCACCAACGGTTCAATAACTGCTGGAACATCTTCTACATTAGATTGCTGAGGTTTATTTCTCTGCTTGTGTAGCACGGTTGTGAAGGAATTAAAAAAATCATTTTCCTCTTCTTCTTCTAGTGCCAACTCATGATGAGAGACTTCAGGTTTGCTTGGCTTGCTTTTCTTCTCTGGTGGCAAGCTACTCAAGGTACTTTCAGAAGCTTCGTCCACAAAACTGCTAGTAACACTTGCAACAGCAGTAATCTGCCTCTTCATTTTCTGGCGAATTATCAATCCCAGTAATAAATTTGGTCGGTGTATTTCAATCCCTGTACAAAATTGTAACAGCAATTTATCATCTCCTTCTGTTTTGGTTAAGGCAATCATTTTAAAAAAAACAACCCCCATATTCTTACAATATATTATAGAAAGTATTCATTTTATGACATTTGAAATTTCCATCAAATATAACAAACAATACTTAAAATAATCAAAAGATATATTTCCAACATAAAAATTATGACTTCAAGCACTGCAAATTAAAATTGCTTTAGATACTGTATCGCCCACTATAACTTCCAAATACAGAATACGAGACAGTTATATAGGACGTCTAGTCACATAAGAAAAAGCAGAGAAGTTAAACATCGTATTAGTCTAATGCAGCTACAGTCTGGTAACTGTGGTAGCAAAGCACAAAAGGGGGAAATAAAAAAAGTAAATAGCACACTTGCTACCACAAAATCTCCTAATCAATTTGTGTTAGGCATACTTCTTCAAAGATTTATCAAGAGTGACTTTCCAAAATGCTTCCCTCATTGCAGGAAGGCACTGTATTTCAAGGTATACTATTACCTATCTCTTTACTATGTATTTTGTTCTGTATAATTTAGGTTCTTGGAAAAAAAAAGAAAAAAATTATGAGTTGTACCTCATCCTCTCTTCATTTCGGCCCTGCCAATCTCAAAGAAGAAATCATCCACAAATTTTTATAACCAAAATAAAATTGATAAAAAATAACTCAGGTGTAAGCAGAACAACTGAGAGCCATTTCAGGATCTTTTCTTCCTTGCCCACCCGTTTTTTAAACTTTCCATGTCTTTTTTTTTTTTTTTTAAGGAAGTTTGGAACACTTGAGAAAAAAGGAATTAGTACATTTCAAATAATGAAAAATACTATTTTAAAGTTACAGTATCAATTTGGAACTCAGGTTGACTACTATCATAGTTCACTTGCATCACTGAATTTACTGAGATTGTAACCTACAAAGCCACCTGAGTTAGAGGAAGAATGTAGTAAACATAAAACAAAGTTACACACAGTAATTTTTTCAACAACAATACTTTAAAGTATCAGAATAATCTTACAACGGGAAATTAATATCTTTTCAAGGAAGCTAATATATTATGGAAAACTCATGACATGTTTGAACAGAATAGCTGGCATTTTTAAATTTAATTTTCCCTTATATTTCTGTTGTAAACTTCTTTAAGTAGGGTTATGATAATAAAGTTCCAAATTCCAAGCTGTACTTACCAGGCCCATCAAAAGGCACAAGATGATGTGGAACTTTATCTGAGGAACCTAAAGGGATGAGGTACAAATCTTTCACTTGCTTCATGTTATTGGCCGCTACACCATAACGTTTTCTACTGCTGAAATAGGCAAACAACAACGCATAGGATATCTGATCCTCTTCAGTTACAGGGGTAAAGCGAACTACACAAATCTCCTGTTTACAAAAAGAGAGAAAAAGATGGTCAGATACATTTTTCTATCATTCAAAAGCACAGTTCAGAGGAGGAGAAAAAGCCTCCCCAGGAAGGCAGAGAACAACAGAGCAGATAGAAGGAGCAGAAACAGGGACAAAAATAATTAAGGAAAACTGAAGAAAACAAATAAAAAGCATTTAGTATAAAAAAATTAATTACAGTGCATAACAGAAAAGCCAACATTTTATCAGCTACCTAAATAAAAAGTTTTAGGGAAGCATGCCAGCTTCCAAGTAATTATTCCTCTTCCCACTCACAACATTGCTAGAAAGCTTTATTTTTAGACCACTGTGTCCGAGATATCCATTAATACTGGGGAAGATCAGTATTCAGATCCCAGAATTACAATAAAAGCCCAGCCGAGGACTGATGCTGTTTAATGGCTTAACTAACGACCTGGAAGATGGGACAGGAGACTCTGCAAAACTGAGATGACACCTAATTAGGGGCAGTGGTCGATATGCTGGAAGAGTGTGGGCTGCCTTTCAGAGGGACCTCAGCAGGCTGAAAAGGTGTGCTGACCTTCATGAAGGTCAGCAAAGGCAAATGCAAAATCTTGCACTTTGAGATGTAGTAACCCCATGCAGCTGCACAGGCCAGGGGACTGACTGCCTAGGAAGCAGCTTGGCATAAAAGGATGCCAGAGTCCTGGTAGACAAGTTGAATGTGAACCAGCAACACGTCCATGCCAAGAAGGCCAACTGCGTGCTGGGCGTCAGAACCAGAGCAGCCAGCAGGCCAAGGGAAATAATTATTCCCTTCTATCCAGCACTTGTGACAGAGCATCTGGAGAACACCACCTAGTTTTGGGCTCCCCAGCCCGAGGACAACCTGCACACAGCAGGACAAGTCCAGCAGAGGACCACTGAGATGGTTTTCCATACTGTAACAGTACTGAAACGAAAGGGTAGCACTTGAGACATGTGAAGCGGTGTCCAAACATTCTTGATGAGTTACTGTCTCAAAGGAATACAAGTATTCTCAAACAGCAAATGACAGGTTAAGGTTAGACAGTAAGAAAATAAATGCCATCAGCTGCCATCCATCCCATTCAACATAACTGCCAGTTATCCTTCATATGTCATGTATTTCACAAATGTTCCGGGGAAAAAAAAAAGATCTTTAGGGTGAGTAAGATTTATGTTAAAACAGCAAGCCTTCAATATGTAAAATTCTTACCTTGGTCCCTGAAGCTTTGATTTTTTCTACATACTCCCAGACAGTGTGAGGAGATATCCTGCCACCTACTTGAATACTATCAGGTAAATCCTATGAGAAAGGACAACAGAAATCTGAATCCAACCTAAAAATTGTGGTAAATCCTTCATCCAGTATCTATTTCATATATTCAAAACATGCTTAATTCTTATAGTTCTTAAATTATAATTTTAAAGTATCAATAGAATACTGATAACAACAGCAGAATACTGAAAAACAACAGTAGAAACAAATTAATTTACATTTAAATTTTGGATATTTATATTAGGATTTTCCGTGCAAAGTTAATGATCTGTACTAAATTAGTTATTATTCAATACTGTTCATCTATACCTTCCCCAAAATTATTTATTTCAGTAACATTAAGTGCAAACATAACTGTACTGTGCTCTGGAAACACTCAAGTTATCTGTAAGATCAAACTGCTATGAGAGCCCCACACCTATAAAGGAATATAATAAACTTTCAGAATCTTAATCATGAGGGAAAAACATAACCTACACACACATGCATATATAGACATAAACTTGGTCTTGGATATTATCAAGTTCACTATTCACAAATAACAAAAACAGACTTTCAGAATAATTTAGGAACACCTACGAAAAAAACAGTTTTTTGAAATAAAGCAGAAGAGTTTTGAAAAGCACATTTTATTCGTAAAACAATCCTTTAGTATTAAAGGGTACTGCATGCCCTGCACTTCACTGAAGATTTACAGCAAAGTAAAGATAATCACATTAATAGAAGATGTAAGTCCTTTTAATTAGAAAGCTGATGCATCCCGTGGCACTGGCGAAAAGTAACGCTGAGCCTTTTGAGCTCTCTGATCTTTATGACACAAAGACAACTATTATAAGCAGTTGCATCCTTTTCCTGCTTCTCCGACACTGAAGTGAACACTATGTAAACTTTTTTTTTTTTAAAGGGATAATTTAGTCTTACAATGGAAAGTTAGGACCAGAATTGCCACCAGATAGGCAAAAAAAGAAACCCTGTTACGCAGGTTTCTGCTGTAGAAGATGAGAAGGCTTCTTGCACTGTGTCAACAGAAACCACCAGTAGACACTTCTGTCTACCAAAATTGGTATTGACTTGTTTAATGCTTTGAATTCGAAACTGAGCTACAATTTTCTAACCTCTAATTCAGAAAATGGATGCCACTGAGGTGATTATTTCAGTAGCAAATTTTGCTCTATCTTTCCCTGATACTTTATACTACAGAAGATGCTCCACAATAAACAAAAAGCCAGCTCTGGAAATACTGCTGCTCATCCTAAAGAAACATCTGACAGTGAGACGAGAGCAAAACTTCTTGAAATATATCAAAGAACTTGAACCCTGATGAACCATAGGTCCATGTAGGACAAACTGAAAAATACTTTACTTACAAATACATACCCTAACCTATGTCCTCCCAAAAATACTTTACTCAGTACAATGATTATGCTTCATTGTCTTTCATCATTATACTATTATTAGCCTACAACGTAAACAAGTCACTAAAGTTAGCAAATGAATTTTTCATTCTTTGCAGTAAATGGAAGTACCTCCGTTAAATACTCAAAAGAGCCAGAAACTGGGTAAGCCTTGATAACAAACTTTGCCACTGAAGGCATATTGATAAAACCCTTCCAGATGAAATTCAGGCGTGCCAGAAATAGACTTTCACATTCCACAGTACCAGGTGTTTCTGACCTAAAAAATGACAAATAAGAAAACACTTTGTTTAGAACGTGATATATCATGCAATATCATGTAATGATAATCTTTCTTCCTAAAAGAAATTACGTGTCATTAAGAATTTTCTTTTCCAGTTAAGCATACTTGAAAGTCAATGAAAAGAGATAGGCAGACAACCATGTTTCTCACCTTCCAGTGGAATTACATGAAGTTACATATGTTACATGAAGGACCGTCAGATAAGCAACACATTAGTTCACTACTGTAGCTTTTGAGAACAGAGAAGTTATTTAGTCCAAGAGTTATTAAATGCTACTGAAGAGGACACACAAACACATACAGGTGCTGCAGACCCAGTTAGATCTTCCCCTGCCACTGGGAGGGGAGGAGAAGATGACATACTGCCTGCTGGCCTATCTTCACCCTGCTTTCCTAGCTCCTACGTTTTGTTGCAACACTGTCTGTCCACTACCTGAATACATGCGTCCCCCTTCCCTTCCCTTGTCCTACAAGTTGGCTCCTCATCTCTTCTCACCCATGCATCACTTCCACAGCTTCTGTGAACGCCTCCTCCCAATTCCAGTATCAGCTGTACAAATTAGCGTTTTTCCCCCTTCAAAAAAAAAGCCTCAGTTTTGTCAATAAAGCAGCTGCAAGGAATAAACTAAAAGATTTAAATAATTTCACAGAGGAGTGTTTCTCAGCCTGGGGGTTTCCTCATGGAAAAGGTTACAGCCACATTTCAACATTTCCCAACATGTTGTTATCAAAATATTCTAGGCATGCTACCAGCAGTTTTAAGCTAGCTGCCCAGTAATACCAGATGTGCTGTTACAGTAACACAGTAACCTATGTTTCTTTCTGTCTACACTAGAAATTGCTTCTTTGAATCTTCAGCAAGCTATTCAAAAAACAAAGTGCACTGTCCTCGGTAAAGGATCCCACTGTCCTGATAAAGGCAGAATTTCAGCACAAACTCTGGTCAATTCTAAATAACTGGAAGTCGATGTTTTTCTAGCAACCCCTTCCTCAAACCAGAAAAAAACAGCCTCATAAATTGCAATTCCCTCTTTACTGGGTAGCAGAGTGTGGAAGAAAATGAAGAGAGCGCTGACAGCAAATATAGCAAAACATCAAACAAGCTGTTGTTAACTCTCATTTCTAGAAAAAGCATTGCTTTGAGATTTGAAACTAGCCTGATTTATCAGTGTAAATGCTCTGTTTAGAGAGATCTCAAACTCCCTAGTTTTACATATACACATATACAAACACAGACACACTCATTCAATTGCAGCACTTAACATACTACGTTCCTTAATAGCAAAATACAATATGAAATCTATATTCTGCCTTTTTTAATATGAACTCAACTGCCTTTTTAGGCCTTGTTGCACCAGAAAACGTAAGGTAGTTTACTTTTCACGAAAAGAAAATGTGGTAATTAGAAGTTCGTAATCACAACAATATATGTACTATTATTTATATAAATGCATAGCACCATCTACTCCAGCAGATAACCCCATTCTGAAGAAGAGGTGTACAACTTCAAGTACACAAATGGATTAATGAAATACCATTAAAAAAATAACTTTAGTCATAATAGCTTAACAAGGTTAATAATGTCTTTCATTTAAAAATACTGTTTCTACAGTTTATATTACTTTGGGAGAGGTGTGAATGATGATTTGGATGAGTCTTGCTTATCATCTTCCAGCAACTCTGAAGCTAAAATACTTGATGTTGAAGAAAGCGCGTCTGCAATGCTCTCTGCTTCGTTGTCTGACTGCTTCCGTGCAACTCCAACAGACACTTTCACTTTTTTGGCAGAAAGATCATCAGTAGGTGGTGCCATTCGGCCTGCAGAGAATCATAGAATCATATAGGTTGGAAAAGACCTTTAAGATCATCAAGTCCAACCATGAACCTAGCACTGCCAAGTCCACCACTAAGCCATGTCCCTAAGCACCACATCTACACGTCTTTTAAATACTTCCAGGGATGGTGACTCCACCACTTCCCTGGGCAGCCTGTTCCAAGGCTTGACAACCCTTTCGGTGAATTCCAAGGCCTGACCACTCTTTCAGTAAAGACATTTTTCCTAATGTCCAGTCTAAACCTCCCTTGGCGCAACTTGAGGCCATTTCTTCTCGTCCTATCACTAGTTACTTGGCAGAAGAGACCAACCCCCACCTCGCTACAACCTCCTTTCAGGTAGCTGTAAGGAGCGATAAGGTCTCCCCTCAGCCTCCTCTTCTCCAGGCTAAACAGCCCCAGTTCCCTCAGCCACTCCTCATAAGACTTGTTCTCTAGACCCTTCACCAGCTTCGTTGCCCTTCTCTGGACACGCTCCAGCACCTCAGTGTCCTTCTTGTAGTGAGGGGCCCAAAACTGAACACAGGATTCAAGGTGCGGCCTCACCAGGGCCGAGTACAGGGGCACGATCACCTCCCTACTCCTGCTGGCCACACTAGTTCTGATACAGGCCAGGATGCCGTTGGCCTTCTTGGCCACCTGGGCACACTGCCGGCTCATGTTCAGCAATGTTTTTTATTTTTTATTAAAGAAACGAAAGAGGACTTCTTCTTGAAGACATGGAAGATGCAACAAAAATACTACATATTGCCACTGAAGTGCAATAGGATAAAGAAATGATACATTTTATACATATTTATACATTGTATATATTTATACAATATTATACATAAATATTGCCACTGTAATGGGATAGGATAAAGAAATGAGGAATCAACAATAGCATGTACACCCATTAAAGGGACTTCTTTCTCTGCAATCTTTTTTTTTTTTTTAAATAGAAGACAACTTTATCCTAATAGCCTATCATTTTAATATTGTCTCTTTTGTAAATTATGAAGTAAAACACTGCTTCCACATCTTTGTCAGCAAACTAGGGAAAAAAACCCATTTATTTACATTCTTGATATATACTGAGATTTATGACTGAAAAGCATTATACAAGCATGATATATTTATTTTGACATGCTTTTCAAAATTACCTATGCAGATTTTGCAGTTAAGATCGAAGAGATGATTTTTATGTTGACTTGTGGTGTCTGGAGATGCAGATTCATTTATTTCTTTATCTTTTTCAGCTTCCTCTGACTTCTCAAACAACTTCATATTAGGTTCCTAAGAAAAGTCAAACTTGTTTCAGTTAGCCTTTTTTTCCTCTGATAATATTCCTAATATTGCTATTCATATTACTTAAACATTTTATGGCTCCCTTCAGCTGTATAGCCTAAAAGGCCATCACAAACTCTACAAATGCATTAAAAGAACAAATTGATATTCCCAAATATATTTCAGATAAGATTTGGAATATTTTCTACTATTGCCAGAATGCATCATATACAACATGGAAAAAACAAAAAAAACACCAGGCCCAGAACTGAAAGACAATGAAGATAAAAGAAAAATTGAACTCAAAACAGACCTAACATATAATTACAGATCTGAACAACAAAATCCTAAACAAACCACTTTACAACCATATTATCTATGTAAACTAAATACACTGTGTTGCCATGCTTTCTTTTCTACCTGAATTTCCATAACTTCCTCTTGTTCTTTTATTGGTGTTTCACTTTCAATTTCTATTTCTCCTTTGTGAGTAATTTTTGTGATAGGTCTTCTTTCAACTTCCCTCTGTTCTTTCTCGATCATTTCAATTGTCTGCAAAAACAGGAAGTTACTTATATTTACTTCCATATAATAACATTTGGAAATCCACAAATATAACAACAGAAAATACGACTGCAGTTAGGAAACCCTCTAGGAAAAAAAAGAATACATTCTTATTTTTCAAGTTTCAAGTAGTTTCATAAAGCAAATGCACAAGCAGCTGGTCTAACTTCACCTGCAGTGCAGTGAGTACTTATCAGGCATGTATTTAAACAAGTAACAAAGTAGACCTTCAACACTAAATTTAAAGACAGGTAATTCTGATTTTCCAAGAGTTAAAGAAAAAAAAAAAAATGCATCAACTCTTTTCCCACAGTAACAGGGACAATGTAGGACATAAATACATATAGATTTGTATCATTTTTCAAGAGCTCTACCTCAATAAAAACATTTAAATGTATTCTTAAAGTAATCGATGTGCTAATTCTGATCAGTGCTGCTGCTTTGCTCTGTTGCAAAAAAACAAAACATAAACCGTTATTTCTAACATTGCTTCTTAAAGCACATTTCTACTTCTTAAACCAGAAACAGCTTGTGTTGGCTGTCCCCAATATTTTAAGCCTGGTTTCATTAGGAAATAAGGATTCTATAATTGCTTTATCTGTCTGCCAAATACCTACAGTTAGTTTTGAACACATTGGGAAAACTTCAGAAAAAAAATAGTAAGTAGCAGTCTCAAAGTCTTGCTTAAGTAAGAAAATGAAAAATACAGTCAAATGATACATTATTATTTATTTTACATGTTGTATTCCATCTCAAATTCTAGAAATTTTGAAGTATTTCTCTGAAATAGTTAGGACCCTACAGTAATTTTTGAGCAGCATACGCTTTTGTTTTAAAGCTGTTCCTTACAGCAGTGGAATATTGTTTTGTATTGTCTGTTTTCAGTATTTTATTGATGTTAATAAAAATAAATGTAATGAAGATGTACCTCAAAAGATGGGCTTTAGATAGCTACAGAATAAACAAACTTTTCATGCCTTTCTAGGCCCTCAAAACAACTTTGAGATAATAGAATAATTCAATAACTGTTTTTGCATAGGAACTAGCAAAAAGTTGTCATGATTCATAAACAGGTCTAGTTGCAATATGCAAAGAAAAGGAAAAAACCAGGAATAATTAATGTCGCAATGCAAATCACAGTCTCTAAAACAGCATCCTGCTGTACTGAATCAGTTATCACTGAATATTCTTTCATTCTGAGCACACAGAATTCAAGAGGATGAATTTCCATGTATTCTGTGTTACACTACCTACTCATTAATTTTTTAATCGGAAGTCATCTGATACAATCCACAATTCCTAGTATGATAAAACCAAAACACAAAATGCATACCAGTTAACACTACCCAAATTTTGTGCCTTTCAGTTCTATGAAGTGGCATATAAACACCAAGGACTCTGCCGACACAAATCCAGATGTTGTAAACTAGAAAACTTGAAGCTGTAAACTGGACATTTTTAAGCAGCTGCAGTTAACTATCATCGGACTAACTGCCCAATAAACATGGTAATATCTAAGAAAAAGGCATCTTCTATAAAAATAATACAGCTCCTTATATTCCTGCTTCACCTTCTAAATTGTCAACACAGCTATAAATATAGCATGACTTTCTGTTTCAAGAAAAGTAATGCTCTAACCAACCTAATAAACTTCCTACACTTTGTTGCGGTTTTTTGGTTTGGTTTTTTTTTTTTGTCCCTTTAGACTGCTTTTCAGAGTGGCAGACCAAGTTTTCAGCTTCAGATTTACTTCTTGGTGGGTGATTTGTCATACTCCATCAGTATGTAAGTTATAAACACCAGTGCAGTTTGATTTGTCCAAAAAGATCTTTCTCCTTTTCCAAGAAACTGGTGTCTATAAACCTCCAGCTAGAGCTTTAAAATCTTGTTGGAAAGAAGGACAAAGAAGCCTTCACTCTTGAGACAGAAGAAAGAGCAAGCAGCAACAAAGTTGCAAAAGAAAATGCATGGTTTCCCCCTTTCAGGAATCTACTACACGTCTTTCACTTCTGTCCTAACAAGCCCTTTGGGTTTTGAATACTAAATAAATTATAGAGATCCTCCTGATTAGTCAGAGTTGCTTTGTGCAACATGCATTCTGTTCTTTCTACATACACTTAACCTGAAAACAGAAGTTAAATATGCTTAGGCAGTCAACTAAACAACATAAGTTGACAAATCTCACATGTCTGTTTTCTCTCTGTCTCCAAGCAGCCAGTTCTTTGGAAGCCAGTTCTTCTGGGCTCATTTTTATTAGATGGTCTGGAGTAACCTCTCCTTTCAGTACTTTCTTAAATAATATCTAGAAGAAAGAAGAAAAGTTAACTATTGCTATCAAGACAAAAACAGCTCGCAGCAGGAAATAAAGCAGAGAAGCAACATAGAACATACTCTGTATAGTTATATGGATCCTGTGGTTTTGTAATTACCTCCCACTGTAGGAAGCGGTACTAGATTTTATAACATAAAGAGCTTAATTCCAGAGCTCCATTTATTCTACATAACAGAATGTATCTACATATACCCTTAATGATCAGATGTACAATTAACTGTTGTTCCAAAGGAGAAAGTGAATTTATGCCCATTGCAGCAGTAACTCGGACTTTTTTTTTTGTAAAGGTGCAAGTCCCCTGTATTACACAGCAGAAAGAAGCTAGTATTAAAGAGGATGTCTACGCTTCTTGATAGACTGAACTGAATTCCTAGGGTAAAAAAAACCCACATAATTTAGCAGTATGACCAAACAGAAGTCAATGACAGAAGTTAGCCTGTTCATATAATTTACAGTTGGCTAATTGTAATAGTAAAATACCATAGACAAAGCAACTTGATCAGAATAACTGATAAAAGGACAAAAGACAGAAGTTGAGGAGGTGAGTATGATGTTGCACAATGGGCTCACAGAAAGCAGAAAAGAGAGTGAAGACCAAGCTTGGGAAACCTGGGTATGAAAAAGCACAGTGAGACAAGCTACTGGATGGACAGAAACAACAGTAAGTGCAGTAAGCAGGAAAGAGTTGGGGGGGGGACAGGGACACCCAAACAACAGATCAGTGGTAAAGGCAAACACTTAAACTAAGCAAGCTTATCCATTACACTTTGAAACCCCACTATAAAAAGTACACTGGGAGCAAGGAGATGAAGAATTAGTGATGGGGAACAAGTGAAAAAGAACACAGAGAACACCGAGTGCACAAGAGGACAAACAACACCAAAGAGAAATCTACAGAAAAAAATAACACACAGGATAAATTGTGAAAGAATTAATAATGCATCTACATAGAAGACTGTTCCTTTAATCTAAAACAAATAAAGGATTTTTGTAAAGCACAACAGACAAATAATACATACATTATTTTTAGGATCTTTTAGATTGAACATTAAACTTCTGTATTTGTTCTTATACTTTGAGTCAGTGTCCCGAAAAAAAGAAAACAGCTCTCTTTCAATCCTTGTGGCAACTTTTGCTGCTCTCTCCTCAGGAATCTTTAAACTGGAGTCTGTCAGTCTGTGGGAGAACACAGCGGAAATTACCAAATGCTTCCAAATAATTAATATTTTTTTCTTTGCCTTCCGAAATAAAATAATTACTAACACAAATTTATAATTTCATTTAATAATATACCTATACTTTACCTTTTCATCAGAATTTCCTTAAGAGACTGCTTGACACTTTGTCTTATCTGATCAGCAGAAGGTTTGGAAGCTGGCACAGCTGGCAGGTGTGTTGCACTAATGGATCCTTTCTCATTTTTCTTTTTCTTAATTTCTTGTTTCTCATGAACACCTATCAAAACAGAGAGTTAAAAACTGTAAGCTACTCAAACCACTCAATAAACTTTTACTGTTGCTAGATGTCATGAAGTTTTATTTTTAAACTGCTAAGAACTGACCTTCAAGGAGAAGGAATGGACTCACAGTGTTGTTGTTTTTTTTTTTTTTTTTTATTTGGTTTGGATTTTGTATTACACAGATTAATCCAGAAAAAACTTCCTTAGCAGAAATAAATAGGACTTTTGCTCTTTGGCAATTTGCTCTAAAGTATTTTCTTCTACACTGAACCAAGATGACCAGTGCTTATTAGCTTGATCTTAAGTAGGATTTTTGACTCTGAATTCTTGTTAAAGCATAGATTAATTTTTCAATGAGTGAACTGAGAAATAATATACTGGGAAGCACTTAATATAAGCATATTAAACTTTACTTTAAAACAGAGTTTTTCATAAAACTTAGCATTTCTGCATCTGTTAGCCATCAAGATTATTGCAATTATAATAATCTCAGCTTCTGATTCAGGTAACAGACAATCTTAAGGCCATTATCAGGTTTGTGTCATAAATAATACAAATAATGGAAATTTCTAATAAAATTAAAATCATTAAAGCAAAAAACACAAATTCCTTCAAAATTCAATTTTCAGGGTGTCAACTGATAGCTCATTTGTCTCAGCAAGCAGACATGTCACTAATTTAGAGCTGTAGCCTTCTATTTATGAAAGCAATGGGAAATAAACAATATTAATTTACTGATGTTCTACTCTGAAAAAAGAAACAAACTGAAGACTGATAAAGATCCAACTTGAGTGTCTGATGGTAAAAAGAAGTATTTCTTTATTATTAGTTTCACCTACTGAGTGCAACTTAAAATGCATTAATACCAGAAGCAAACTAACTACATTTTCAAGTAGCTATAAAAAGACAGATCTTCTTTTCCAGTGAGCAGACTGTGTGGTTGGATCATCAACTCTCTCACTAATGCAACTATGATCCCTATCAAAATTACTGATTTCTCCTTCCTCACCAGCAAGGTGGTACTGACCTGAGACAGCTGTGTGCCACTCTGCGCTGTGATCTCAAGTACGAATATGTTAGGCTTGTTAAGTAAAGCAGCTCTATTAATGCTTTTATTTGTTCAATATACTGTTTTGCTCATCTCCTCCTCAGGAGGAGGATGAAGAACTGGACTAAAATCTTTTCAAAGCTGTAGCCTGAGGGGGTCAGGGAAAATGGAAAACCTCCACATGCCAGCAGTATTTTTGCAGTTTCAACCATCTGAAAACACGTGCCCGTAACAGGGAAGTGATGGGCAAGATTAGCAATAAACAATGCCACTATAAGAATAATTCAAAGCAGTTAAGAGATTAAGACAAATGTGCTGCTTAATAATTTTATGCTAATTGTCCTAAATGAGACTGCCAAGCCTCCCCTCTATTAAAAATCATTTTTAAGATTAACTTCTATTTTGAAATTGTCATTGTAAAAATCTTTTTGTCATCTCCTAGTTCAATTAATATATTTTAGAACAATTCAATTATTTCATTGATGCTAAAGACTCATTTCACTCCATGTAATTTGCAGTTAAAAAGGATGTCAATTATTTTGTGACTCAGAATTTCAAAGTTGGACAACAAGGTATGTGAAGTCTAAAAGATACCATTCAGTATAAGAGACTTACATTTAGATTTATATTTAACCCTGACATTTTCAATTGTTTTCTTCCACCAAAAAGTTTCTAGAACGCATCAGCACTGGCAAAAGACCAGAAGAGCAGATTTTTTTTTTTTTTAAAGACAAGGATTCAAAGCTTGAGTTTAGGAGTTAAAGACACAGTTCTCACAAAATCTCACTACCTTTGCTACTGAGATTTCAGTCCCAAATGACAACAATTTCCTATTACCATGATCTTAGAAGAATAATGCTTCCTGGAAGGGAGCTGAGGAGGGGACGGAGGTTGCTGGGAGGGGAAATATGTCCTTTCAACTTTCAAATAAAATTTAGATGAAAATCTGATGGCTCAGTGTGTAATATAATGTTCCCCTTTGAAATGAGTTGATAAAATTATTTGTTAATTTGTGCAAAAGACATCAGTAAGTCAAAGTATAATTTACATAGCAATTAAAACACTTTTATGTACATTAAGTATTTCATAGTATTTTATGGAAGAGTATTTCAAAGTTTTCTGCAATGTGAAATAAAGTTTAATAGAGAGATGTCTTTGTGTATTTTTTCTCCCATTCTTGATTATGTGAGCATCCTCTACTATTCAAACAGGAAACATTCACACATCTACACAGGAAACATTTACCTGCTAAATAAAATTTAAAAAGAAACGAGAAATAAAGATCATAAACATCATGGGAACAAACACCATCACATGTGGTTTGAAAAACTGATACATTCTTCACTGAACATGTATGTGAATTACAGCATAGAGTACTTCACCAAACCTCACTACCTGATTTCATGGACCTTTCAACCACACTAAGGGACTCTTTACTTATTTTTTCATTTTTATCTTCTGGGGACCGCCGAGGAATTACAGCAGTTTGTGATCCTTTTCGAGCAGGAACATGTTGCCCTTTTTTAGTATCTGAGTCTCTGGACTCTGACAAGTTCTTCCCATCACCAGATTCCTGAAATAAACATTTACACGTTAGCATGCTACTGAATGCTACAATGAACCACTACATAATTACCACACATTTTCCCTCTTTTTTATTTTTAAGTATACTGTATAATGAATTCCCTGGATGTATGCACCACGGTATAATATTTTCTAAAAGATTACTGAACAATATCCCAAATTACTGCCAAGTATTGCTTAACAATCTCTTTGAAATATTGGCCGAAGGCACATCACAGACAGTATGCAGCTAAGCTCTATGTTGAAAACCACTACGTTTTCAGCTGTTTTAAAAGGTCAGGGATACCAATGAACATCCCTTAACCAGCTTTAGCCACGTATCCACAGGAAGTCACTTATGTTTAGAAAACACATGTAAACCAAAATTAAACAGAATAGCTTACATGTCAGAATTACAATACTACTATTCAGAAATAAGACAAAGAGGATTACTGATTATTAAGTTGATGAATATGACACTATATACAAAAAGACTCTAAAGAATTGTAATAAGAACATCTCACTGCTCTTGCAAATTATCCTCTGGTTAGTAAAATGACACACAAATAAAGTAGAAAGGCTCTAATTAAAATTTTAGACATTTTCTTCTACATACAATCTGAAGTTAAACAATCAAAACTAAAATACTGTTTTCATATTGTTCTACAGATATTTAAAAAGATCTGTGGTTTATATCATACAGCAAATTGACAGACGTTCTGAAGTGTTGAATTGACAGACAGAAGTGTTTAGAAATCTGAAAGAAAAACGCATGAAGTTCTTCACCATTTCTATATACACCTATATATATAGGTGTATATACACACACACATATGACGTGCACATATGAAGTAACTCTGAAAATAATGGAGAAGTTTTGTATTAGATTCACAAAAATGTTTGAAACATGGTATTTTAAGTAGCAAAGGGTTAGGAGGAAACGCCTCCTACCCCCAGTAATTAACAAAACTTTAAGCATTAAATAAGACTCACCCGTCTGAATATTTTGACTTTGTGCTTCCCAATGTCCTCCGTTTGCTTTGTTTTTTCAGTTGTTACATTTAGATTACAAGTAGGTGTTTGCCTTGACATCCCTGGCTTTTCACACTCAATTGCTTTTTCTTCTCTATGGATTTCAAGTTTCACTTGAGTATCTGGTACACTTTGATCAAAACACTCCATTTTTTTGTCTTCTTCAGCACAGCATTTCACACACACATATTCTTTATCTTCTTCACCCATCTGCTGCGCTTGAGAAAGACTCAGTCCAACACAATCACCATGAAACCAATCATCACATCTACCACAACCTACCATAAATCTGAAGGAAAAAAAAAAGACAAAAAAAAAAAAAAAGACATAAGTCAGTGTAGAGACTACAAAAGAAGATATAGCAAGTTAAGCAGAATGTTCTATACTTGTTTTGATTTGCGCATCTCAACAATTCCTTCTTACCTGGTAAGTGATTTTCTTTGTAGCTTTACATCCATCTCCAGCCTTACGACATGGTATGATCTTCCTGAGAAACAGGTTTTTTGCCTTTTTGCCTTTTGCAATAGTCCAAGAGAATATCATAACCTCATTATGTTTTTTTTAACCTGCACCCAAATCCTACCAACAGGATTTTTTCAGACTACTATTAAAAAAAAAAATTGATAGGAATATAAATAAAAAAAACCAAAACCCAAAACCCAACCAAAAATCCACAACTCTAAAAACCAGTAAACTTTTGTTTGAAAAGACTTTAAGGTTTTCTTGCAAGAGCATATAATCCTTGCTTTCTTTCAAATGTGATCATCATCCTTACAGCAGAAATGTATCAACTGCAATCTTCCACAGCAGTAAAGAGATGTTGGAGCATTTTGACAAATATGATCAGTACAGAAACATCAAGATATTCTAAGAGAGTTGGTATTTTACATCACATTCCTCAGACCATTATTACTGAATTACTAGTCAATACGGGGCCAGGAGTTTGGCTCCCAACTACATCCGGCTAGCTCACAGTGACTGACCAGCCAGTTTTAAATAAGGTACATGCCACTTTTATGTTCCTCAGCTATTTTACTCAGAGCTAACTGTTATTCAAAGAATGTTTCAAACACTAAAATGAGTATCATTTAAAGGACACTTTTCATCTCAGAGTCACTTAAACTGTTTCATTATTTTGTAAGTAAAAGTAACTTTAGGTACAGATAATATTTTCAAAGTGTTGTAAAGATTACCTGGTCTAAAATAAAACCATAATTTCTGACTATTTTGCAGAAGCATTTTGAAAGCTTCATTAGGTATCACTAGTACCTAATTGCACTGAAAGGTACAATTTCCAGTGGAGCTACTTTGGAATGATATGGAATTTCAAAGTTAGACAGGTTAAACACCTCAATAAATCTATTTCAGGAGACTTAATTGGTAGTAATTATTTTTTACAAACCATTCTTATAATGAAAAATCTAGCATCACTACTAAAGATCTGCTTTCAAATTATGTAGGAAGATCTCTTTCATTATCCACTTATGTTCCCTTTCCCCTTTTATATCTTCTTTTGTTTTATACTTACATAAAATATATTAAATACATGTACTATGATATGTATTGTTTGGATGAAGGAAAATCCAGAAAGACTGCAAGCGTATCATGAAAAGTGTGAGTGCTTTGTTAATACTGAAAAATTTACTGAATTATTAGTCTTTAAATTCCACAGAAGACAGATCTGATTTAAAAAGTAATTCAGTGAAATGCTGTTGTTTCAGCAATATATTCAACAAGCTGAATACACTGAACTTGCAAACCCTGTTTCTTTAATCTAATATCCTAAAAATCTCTTTCGTAAAATGATTCTAAGGAAAATGTATGTTGTTCCTATTAAGGCTAAGATCTGCTATCTGCTGACTTACCTACTTTGCAAAACCATATAAATATTACAGAACATGCTTAGAGGAACTCTCATTCACCAGAATTGTAGATGAACGCTCCAGATGGTTTGATGCAGGCACTACATTCAAGAAACTACAGGTATCTCAAGAAATGAAATATCTATTTAACAGCAGATGTTTGAAACATAAGAGAAGGAAAGAAGAAAATATTGTGACTTTATGTTCTGTCCTTGCTCACCCAAAATAAATCAGGATTAAGTTCTGCTGAAGTAAATAGCATTTTGATGCAAAATGAGTGTGAAAGCTTTAAAGCTCCGGCAGTTTGGGAAAAAGGTCATTTCCAGCTTCACTAGCCTACGATGCTGTTTGCTAGATTTGAATAAACCAGTTTTTAATCTAGTTTGTGAAGAAAACTATTTTCTCTTTTTTAATTTTCTTTTTTCTGAGCTATAAGTACTTTTTTGGCATTAGTCATGATTAGCAAACAGTATCTGCCCATCTATTTAGTCATTTCAATTAGGAAGGCAGAGGTTCCTTCACGTTTTGTCAGTACCTCAATCTTTTCAGATCCATGTTCCCGCAAAGCAAAGATACAAGAAAGGTAACATTAGGGGACAACTGCTTCTGATGGTCTTACCAGAGTAATACCATTACATTCATAAACACAACAGGAAAACAAGAGAGAAGCGATGGGACTTTAACGCCAAGATGACTGCTCCTTTCTGAGAGCCTAGAGCCAAACACATGATGGCAGGAAATACAGCGCAAGTGCCTATTTCACAACTGCAAGGATGCACGAGAGGATGCTTTATATTGGATAATCTCATGTCACTGCAAGAAAATATTAGTAAAGCTTTGGGAATACCGAAACTGGTTACAAAATTCCAAACATAAGATTTTCTACAGAGCTGAAATAAGATCAAAGCATACAGTCAAGTGCTTCTTGCTTAAAGGATATTCTAATGTACTAATGAATGAATGTCTTTTGGTTAAAAATAGAAGGAAACCAAGAATACACCGTCTTGAAGCCACAACTACTACTTAATTTTTTATTAAAAATGTATGTATTTTTCCCTCTGTTTGGAAATTCAGGCATTGGAGACTAATTTGTTAAATAAGCAAGCCAGATTGCAAACTTTAGCAACCAAAACAAAATTTTGATTATTTAGAAAACAGACTAAATTTGCAGAAAAGCAGAGATGAACTCCGGAGACTAAAATACACAAGATGCTGCACATCTTCAACTTTAAATTGACAGCACATGGAATTTTTCAGCTTAGCTCACACATAGTAAGTGGGCAATAGGGAGTGTATGATGAGTAAAGCACCAGATAGGCATCCAGTCTTACATCTTTATTTTCAGGTCTATCAAAAAAAAAAAAAAAAAAAAAAAGAAAAAGTAAAGTAAAAAAACTATAATGAATTCGGCTCAGAAACAGATCATTCTTCACTAAGAATATACATCAAGACGGACAGATGTCATTCAAGCCATATTAAGCAAAGTACTGAAGACGGAATATCCATCTGGCTTCATTCCAGTCTTCACAATAAGGTTTCAATTACACTATATTTAAACACACACAAAGAAACTTCAGAATTCAGGATTCAGAAACTAAGACTACAAAGAGAACCTGGAAATGTCCATGAAGCCCGTAGTATAAAACAGAATGTAGTGTTTACAATTGTCTTGCTTAAACCTAGTTATACAAAATGGTAATAAAAATATTGGTTGCTGCCTGCCTAAAAAATTCCACTATTTCTACTAGTATTTTCACACTAGTCAACTGCAAAACTGAGACTTCTGAGGCTGGGAGAGAACATACTGATTTTGATACCAGTAATGTAAATAATCCTTTTTACCATAAGGCCACTTTTACATCTTTATCTGTTTCACTCATCTGCACACAAAACACAATTATGATTTGTAACAGCAATTACAGTTGGGTAACGGGCAATGCTCAAAGACTAAAAAGGGGAGTCAAGGGAAACTGAAGCCTGGCTTGAAGGATCAAGGATGTTCTCTTGCACAGCTGTCAGAGTTGTGTAGAAGAGGTTCTGATATCTTGGACTATTAAAACACCAAAGTTTTTGACTGTAGATTGCTTCAAGTTTGAAGTGCAGAAGTTTTACCCATGTTGTAAGGCTGGATTGGAAGATGTAAAGCTGAAAGAGAAAGAAAGATGTGTTTTAAAATATTAAATCATGCCACATTCAATAACAGAATTGCTTTCACTGGACTTTAATATAAAAACAAAATTTTGTTTAAGAAAAAACTAAAAAGAGCTGACAGATGAGAGCAGACAGTACTATAGTTCATTGGGACCTTTGCATAGAGTATGTTATTGTTTCATTCCTTTTAAAGAATCCTCTTGGTAGTCCACACATCGGCATGAAAAGACACACCTTAAAATCAGAAAGTAATAGATGATACACAAAAAGAGAGACAGTAATTAATGCAAACCTTCCACAATCTCTCTTAGGATTAGGAGATTTTCTTTGATGTGTTATTTGTAGTAAATTAAATTCATCTGTTAGATGAAAAACTCAGGCTTGGATGATTTATTTTCAAAATATACAGGCCATGTTTTAAAATTAATTTACATACTTTCAATTTATGTAACAAAAGCAAGTTTCCAGAGAAATGCATTACTATAAAAATAAGATTTTACAAGTAAAATGGGCAGAAACCATTTTATTCATAAAATAATTGTTTGTTGAAAAGCTATACTTACAAGTAAAATAAAAGACAAAAAATTGGGAGCTGTCAGAATAGTTCAGTGTGGGCCAGTAATCAGCATTTTAAGATTAATTAATAATGTAAGGTGCATTGCCACAGAAAATCATTTACTCCAGAAACAACTGCCTCTCTTTAGTCCTTTGCATTTGTGGTACATAGCATAGGGAACACAGTGCAACGGGACTCAAATCTTAACAAAAAAACTGCAATACTTACCCTATTCAAAAGGACACCCTAACCCTGAACTCGCCTAAGAGGAGTACAACCAATGGTCATGCACTTCTTAAAAGTTGATGGACTTAAGTATTTAAGGCATGTCCCACATCTGCACTGTTCACCAATCTTCTATAAAATTTGTTGTAAATTTGTATTAACATTACAACTGTGTCTTGGCTGCATTGATTCTACAGTCCAGTCAATATTAAATCAGAGACACTGCATGGAGGCAACTGTTTTTCCTTCAGCCTAATAAAGGTGTTACTAGCAGAAGAAGGAACAATGAGGGACAGGCTTTACCAACCCACTCCATTCCCACGGGAACTGAGGAAGATATTCATGGCAACTTTAGCAGAAGCCTGTGTTCCACACCGGTGAAGTAGTACAGGCTCGATTCAAACCTCAGTGAAACGAGTGGTTGTCAAAAAAAATTTGCACTACCTTGTTATCAGAGCATATATACATGAGCCAGTTTCTCTTGTTTGCTTTTCA